CTGTCAGTGTGCCCCAGGGCAGCTGTGGCTACAGTGTAGTTTGCCATCATCAGAGTGTGAATGTGAGTGTGAATGGGTGAAAAAAAGGGGAGGCTGTGGTGTAGTGGTAGAGCAGCCGGCTTGGGACCCGAAAGTCTTAGGTTCGACTCCCCGCCATACCCACATGTCGTGGTGTCCTTGAGCAAGACACCTAATCCTAACTGCTCCCCGGGCGCCTCACATGGCTGCCTGCTGCTCCACTTGGGTGTGGATGGGTTAAATGCAGAGCACAATTTCGTCATTGTGTGGAAACATACACTGATGACAAATAAAGCACCTTTACCTTAAATGGAATTACTGACCTACACCTACTACACCTGTATGTTTTTTTGTTTTGTTTTGTTTTTTGTTGTTTTTTTGTCATTGACACTGTCACACTTAAATTAATTCCTGCAGTCCCAACCTCTTGTCACTTGTTGCAAACATTGGTTTTAAAAAAAAAACCTTGTAAAAACAAATGGGTGTATAAAATGCACAACCTACCAATCATAAATTAATTTTTAACAAGCACGTAAAGTAAGGGTAGTTTCCTTTCTGGCTACTGTACACACTTGAATTTTGGCACAAACCAACCTTGTTGGTGTTTGTGATTTAAAATTGAAATTACWTTAAATATCTTAATAGGCATTATTTTTGTTATATCCATAAAAAGTCTTCATTAAGCACTATGTAATATTATTTAGCTGGAAGTAGCATTATATGCATTTCTGTTATAAAAATCTGAATACTCTGATATTTTTCTTAAGGCTGCAAAAATCACAGGCTCATGCCACGAATGTAAGAAAGTCTAAAAATCACAGATTGTATATAGCAGGAAAGATAGTTGTGTGACACTTTTAGTTAATTCTTTAGACAGATAAAAAAACGGCCCCATAATAATAACATCCCTGTCTCCGTTTTCACTTCACTGGTCAACTGGCATCCATGACAGCCAGTTTCCAGACGAAAAATGTCCAAATAATGACATCCACCAAACACCACCTGTTCAGTTTAATTAGTTTTCATTGGATGGTAACACGCAGCAGCCATTATTTATGGGTAGTGAAAGGTAATACCACATGGTTGTCAGTGTTGGTGATGACTGAATATCCCACGGGGGCTACAGGTCTCTATCACGCCCGCTTCTGCTTCAGCATGAAGAGTATCCTGTACTGTATCCAGTTGTATATCTATTAATATGGTGCAAAATAAAAAGACTTGTTTTCATTCCCCAGATCTGAAGAACCCTGAGATTGTCACACTGCGAAATCTCACCATGGAGAGCACAGGTGTCTACAGGTGCACGGCGAGCAATGACGTGGGAGAGGAAAACTGCACCATCGAAGTCCCAATGCAGCGTGAGTTGTTMTAAACTGGAGCTGGAAATCCACTTGTTCCCAGTTTCTTCRTTTATTTTTCTATCGTCACCCTTCTTATCCTCCCATTGTGTTTGGACACTTAAAGTGGTGGCTGCTGGTAACCATCACTGCTCCAATCATCGTGTTGTCATGTCACACTAATGTTTTGATTGAAAGTCCCAGGACYGGGTCAAAGTGTGTGGGAAAAAAATAACATTGGGATTAAGAGGTCAGCAGAAACATTTTTTTTAAGCGGTGGAAGTAAATTTAAATATTGTGACATGAAAAAGAGGAAGTAGTTTTATTTATTAAATGAGCTTGTGGAAGACACATTTCTGAATTTAAAACTAACGATGAACACTATGAATATTATTTCTCCAGAGAGAATGAGTGTATCTTCCTCTCATCAATGCCTCCTGTCTTACCRACAGATGTGAGGGATGTTGGGATGGTGGCGGGTGCCGTGGTGGGAATATCCCTCGGAGTCTTCATCGTCATATTAATCATCTGGCTTGTCTTCCGGAAGAAAGAAAAAAAGAAATACGAAGAGGAAGAGACCCCCAACGAGATCAGGTTCAGTCATAATATTTTCCTTTTTGATTTATGATTGGCCCACTTTTTTTTTTTTTTTTTTTTTTTTTTGTAGATTTGAAATGTTTTGTGTGTGTATGTGTGTTTCATGTTTTATTGATCAAAGCTCAGTTAGCATGTTGCAGAAATGACAACACTGGCTCAATAAAAACACAGGCACTTTGTATATACATGTAAATACACACTCTGTTTTATAATAATATATATAATAATATAATATAATATAATATAATGATAATATATTCAGGATTTTATGGGTGTTTATTTCTCCTTTTTATATAAAAGATTCCTGTTAMACAAATTGTAGGTAGGTAGGTGTGGGTAGGTATCTCCAAATACCGGATTAAGCATGTACTTGTGTTTGTGTCACTGCTTATCCATCTATTCATCTATTCAATCATCCATCGTTCACTGCTTATCCATGGTTCGGGGTCTGCCTGGGGTCCCTTGGTGACATGCCCAGAAAACCTCACAATGAGAAGACACTTCCAGAAGTCATCCTATTCAAATGTCCAAACCACCTTATCTGGCTTATTTTAATGTGAAGGAGTAGCAGTAGCTTAGAGGGTGAAGATTTGATCTGCTGGACTCGACATGACCTAAAAGCATAAGAATTTTTGAAATGGGATTCTGTGGAAAGTCTATAAACAATCAATAAATATTGTAGATGTTTCTGCAAATGACAACAATGCTAAATACTTCTAAGTTTTTTTTTTCACAAGTGTAACATTGGCTGCTAACACTCAACATGTTCCATTAATCATTTTTTTTTAGATTAGACATGTTTTAAGGTGGCAGAAATGTCCTATGATCTTCACCCCTCTCAAATTAATCATTAGGTAAATTATCTGATCAGAAGTAAYCTGCTTCTCTGAAATGAAGTTGTTCAAAGGGCTATCTACAACAGGTAGCTACTGTCTACTCATAATCTCTTCATAGAACCACACTTCACAAATCTATTTCTAATAGACAATGGCATGTACACATTTACATTTGTATATTTAAATAATATATAAATCTTTCACCAAGTTTTTGTTTTTGTGAAAGACTGCAGCTGTTTAGGTTGAATRTATTATCCTAATGAACAATGCAGTATGACTGAAAAAAAGCTTTGATTAAATAATGTAAATATGATGAAGTGTTTTGTTTTGCTTTTTTTGTTTTGCTTTTCTACAATGTTAAGAATCTGTGTTTTTCCATTAATGCGCTCTACCAAACCTCATGGCAATACATTGGATTCCAATTTATTTACTGTTGTTTTTTTWWTWWTWTTTTTAGCTAGGACACTTCTTTTGTGCAACTTGGAGGATAGCAATATATACCCAAATCTATTTCTGATTTTTTGTTCAGATATTCTCGATTTTAAATATCAAACCAAGTAAATATCACAATGCAAAGTACGGCAGTTTCACAAAAATGAAAAAAAAAAAAAAACCTACGATCAGTCATTACCATGCAGGTGCTACGTATGCACATGTTTTTATGCTTACTGGTAAAGTTTTATTTTGTCATTAAAAACCATGAAAACAGAATTCTAAGGGAAAGTTTTCTTCAGCAACCCCCACCCCCAACACACACACACACACACACACACACACACAACCACTGCTCAATTTTGTCTGAGGAACTAGTCATTTTTGCAGATTTTATTATTCCATGCAAATGTGTTTCACAAATTTCAGCAGCTGCAGGTTATCTCATGAATTGCATGAACCGCCAACCAAAATACAWGTCCCACATGTGTTAAGCCTTAGAATAGCTTAGAAATAGAACAGAACTGTCTTGCACTTGTTTGTTCGTCAAGGGAGGGGGAAGGTAGAGTCTTTCTCTCTGTTTCAAGAGTTATTATTAAATTAAACCAGCGTTATCATGTTTGTTTGCTCTGTTTCCGTTTACAGGGAAGATGCCGAGGCTCCCAAGGCCAAGCTGGTGAAGCCAAATTCTCTGTCCTCATCCCGCTCTGGCAGCTCGCGGTCCGGCGCCTCCTCCACCCAGTCAATGGTGCACAACTGCACCCAGCGCGGCCACCGCCCACGTCCACCTGCCGTCGCAGCTCTCAAGGAAAACGGACAGCCTCCAGGCTTTCCCCAGTCCCCTCCAGCCTACACCTCAGTGGTACCTCCCAAGACCCCCGAACCCCCCACCACTCCCAAATTCAACTCCAGGAACATGTCTGGCCCAACACCCCCAACCCTTATGGTCCCAGCCCAGACCAAGGCCTTTCAGACTGTGTAGGACTGAAAGCCAACCCCCCTTCTCCATCCTGCAGCCATGTAAGACTCCTACCCCTCCCCAAGCCATTTAGCTCCCCTTTCCCCAAAGACTGAGACTCTTCCATAAACAAAGAAATGCAACTAGTTAAAGGATGTAATTAAAAGACTCAATACTATCAGTTCAAAAGTACTTTAATGAATGCATAATTAAAAAAGGGAAATAAGACATGCTTGCCCCTTCTGAATTACGTAAAACAAAAACAAAGAAAGAAGCAGAGATCCGACGTGGAAAAATTTGTCTCGTGGCTGAAGGCAGAACTTTGTTTCTGAGGTCCTTCTTTTGGGTTTAGAAGGCACTGAGATGTGCATTGAGGTGGAATATGACGCCAAGAGAGCTTTTATTTATTTATCAAATCAAAGGATTAGGAATTCAGTCAAGGGAATAAGTGAGACAGGAAAACCAGTGAAGAGTGGCTCCGTCCAAACTTGTGGTTGCCACAAGTTGTACAAGGTGAACACGTGACAGTTAGAAGCTGCGAAGAAGAAAGTGCAAGCATGTTTGCCACGTTTAGATTCTTTTTTAGCAAAAAGATAAGAGTTTGAGGTGATTCTCTGATTAATGTCACTCTTCACCTCTGTGTGGCCACCTCCAGCATTTGCTCAGAAACCCACAAACCGCTTTGCACCCCATGGGCTTGGGCGATTGTGCCCATCCATGTGGACAGGCACGGTGTGTGGCATGCGCATCATCTGCTCCAGTGCGCTCGGTCTTTTGTGCTCTCATAAGGAACCCAGGAGAAACCACAGCTGTCCTGAGACTGACTCAGCTGGCTCGCAAACGGCTCATCTGCTCCATCAGTCGGCAGGGAAAACCTCAAGTATAAGGATGTAGCATTGACTGGTGACATCAAATCAGTGGACTCGTTACTCCCCTTCCCACGTCCTATCTACATGGTCCTATTCCAGTACCAAATATTCTCCATTGAATAATTTACTAGTATTTAATAGACATATAGTAATACTTTAAATATAGGGATAAGTTAGACCAGCTGGACTCTCCTTTATTTTGTCTCTGTTCTCTCTTCTCCCTGAGCAGGTTGTAAAGGGTGACAGACAGCCAAGTGTCCAATTATCCATATTAAGAAGTGCCACCAAACCCTAAAATGGTTTAATACTGGTTTTGGTTTAACTTTTTTTTTTCTTTCTACCTACTTTGTTTCTGAACTGAAGCCAAATTCTTTCAACCTGAATGTGTGATGTAACTTAGGAGATTTCAATATTTCCAGCCTGTATGGTTCTTCATCGGGTTAAGGCACATAGAATTGACCACAACATCAAATTTAACTATAACACTGTATGTCTGAATGAAGAGATAATCCAATCATATAGGGTTTGTATGCTATCACTGTCAATACTATCCTTGGAACCATAACGGTGGTGTGGCTCTTGATTGCTGTCTCACCAAATCACTTGCATGGTTAATGGAAGTTTTGAGCAATGTCGTAGTTGTACCCTCAGACAGACCTGTCACATTTTGGTTCAAAGTAGCTGACAAAAGGATAAGTAGCCTATCTAGTGTGCCTTTGTACTCCCCTCTTCTTTTTGATAGTTTCTTTCTTGGTCCTTATCTTCAGCACACCAGTGGTTAAATCTCTGTTCACAAGCAGCTCAGAGGGTCAACAGCAGGAAATGCTGGAACAACTTCAGAAATGTGCCCCAGTAAGGGAGGATGCAAAGGGATCACCGAGCAGAGTGAATGGTGAGAACGTAATCCCATGCCACAGGACTATGTACTGTACATTCTGTAATCAGTCTTGTTTTATATTGTACATACTGATAGATATATGCACATGATGTCATTTTATTTAACAGTAAGGGTATATGAGAGGAAATCTTCCTCTTACAAAAAGAGTCAAGTGAAAAAACCCAAAGTGGATTTAATCCAAGTGTCTTTTTTTTCTGATGTCATCTGTGGTAGTTTCATCATTCACATTCATGTGAAGCAAGTATTTCATGGGATGGAATGTGAAYGCAGAAAAATATAATTCGTTCTGTTGGGTTCAAACCATATTATAACCAAAACTGCTGTCCAGAATCCCATTTGACCTGTGGAGTTCATTGTTTCCAATGAAAGCAATTGGAAGGAATTCTTCACCACGGCCACCACTGTGTTTTAATGTTTGCTTTGGCTAAGTTCAATCTGTCCTTACTGTTGAACAATAAAATACAATGAGTCAAATCTTAAAAAACGTGAATAACAGATGCAATTGGGTGACAAATTGAGGAAAAAACAAGGTTTTTAACAACTCTGGGTTGTCTTTTCTYTTTTTAGAGTGAAGCAACACTCAAAAACTGCAGCTGTTATAAATGGTTTAATTTAGTTTTAAATTGCTGAAGTACACTGAACCTGATGAGCTACATCTCATTCAAGATGACAACATAACCATCGAAACATCAATGATCATTAATTAATTTGCCTTAAATATTTCCAGATCTCAAACSACATAAACATTTACAAGAAACTTTGTAACCAGTGCAAACTGCAAACTTCTTTAGCACCTTCAACAGAACTTTTTCCACACAAATAAGATAGTTTACAAAACTCGTTATGTTTTCACCTCTCGTTCACCTGTAGAGTTATTCGTTATGTTTTCACCTCTCGTTCACCTGCAGAGTTATTGCTTTGAATAACTGAGATTTTTACAAACATATTGGGGATTTAATTTTATTGGCGTTAGTGCAGACTTGAAATCTAACAATTCTGAAATGAATCAAACATTGCATGGCACCATACTGCTCGGTATTTATTTTTTCTTAGMCTGCACCTTAACTTGGTTACCATTAAACTTTAAGTTTGAGCTGGAAAAAGTAATGARTAAGAAATAAAATCAAGAAATTATGTCAAAAACAAAACAAATTCGAATGACTTTAGCAGAATTGTTCGCAGTGCTCAGAATGTTCTTCTTTAGTGTTTATGTCTTGGAACATCAACATTATTGCCTCTTAATGGTGTGGCATGGGTATTTTGGCATTTTTGTTGATTGTGTTGTTGAGCAGAGTAGTCAATACCTAAACTATTTAATGTGGACAATTTCTTTAAAAAAAGGTTTAGGCATGCATGCACATGCTGGCCCAACACTTTAGTTAAACACAAGTTGTATAGCTTTTTTTTATCACTTATCCATCTTGTATTTTCTATATGTTTTTTTTTTTACTTTTAAACTCATTATTCTATATACTCAGGACACATTTTAACACTGCTGTTTTAAACGTAGTAAAGTATCATAGCAGTATGGTCCACACTTTCACTTTGCAGCTCATAATAATTATAATGTTTCTCTCTGGACCATTAGAGAGGATTTGGTCACTTTTCAAATCTTAAATCTGCAGCATCTGCCTGGAAAACATGTGTTGTTTGATTTCACACATGGGATTTCACACCTAACGTAACTGCGAGGGAAATTTGGGAAAATAAATAACGCCTTTCTGTATTTAACCKGCGACAGCAGTTCATTTTGGACCAGAGAGGTGACTCTGTGTGCGTTTGGGAGGGACGGTGGGGGAGAGAGAGGGAGGCTGTGTGCGCAAACTTCCGTGCCTGCATGCTTGTAAATGTGTGTGTATGTGTGGGTGTGTGCATGTAAATTTAGTGTAAGCCCCCGGGCCACACCCACACATTCTGAAGTTAGCCTTTCATTGAGTGTGAAGGAAGCAGTCATGCAAAGTAACCTCTGTCCAAATGTACATCACTGGCAGTGTTTCTTTTTATAGTTTGAGCTGAGTTTTTATTTTTTATTTTATTTTTTATGCCAGCTGATTTTGGCTTCACAGACCACAGTCGTGTRTTCGCTTGCGTGGGCGGCGTCTTGAAACAAAGACCGTCCATAATTCATAACTTTCATCAGCTCCGGAGGCTACTTGTACTCTCTCCTTTCTTCTGTCTCTTAACATAGAATGCACTCGTTCCTGGGAGTACTGATGGCATCTCAAGGTGCACACACACACACACACACACATATACATACGCACAATAAAAACCAGTACAATGTGTCCATACATACACATCAACCAGTACAAATGTGCTTATGTGCACAAGAATGCAGTTTTGCGCTTCATGTACACACTGACACACTCACACACACACACACACACACACACACACACACACACACTCAACAGACGCCCACATCGTTTGCACAAACAAAAGCTCAAATACTGTTCCCTCTTATTTCTACTCCTTCAGAATCAATGTGATGGATCGAAAGTCTGGAGGTATTATGCCTGACTGATGGAACCAGGATACTAAAAGCATCACAGAATAGGACACTCTATACTGCATCACTCAGAGGACACCAACACACACACATAAAATCAGCTATGGCAACCAAACACAACGCACCACTCCATGCACTTACAGAGCATCAGACACTGCTGTGCATTTCAACAATCTTGATTGCATACGCCAAAAGACTTTTTTTCCCCTTCTTTTGTTGGAATCTACAAGAGTGGTAGAGGGAATCTGAGAGAGATCTAACAGGTTTGTTACTGAGTCAGGACTGTGGGGCTTTTGTCATTAAAATTCTCTCCTGAGCAGACGAAAGTAGCAATGGAAGTGAACGATGGGGCACGGCGAATCTTCCAGCTGTTAAATTTTTCCAAGCCTTTTTTTTTCCTTTTGATTTCCCTTCCTGCATTTGCAAGTCTCAGGTGGCAGATTCCCCAGTTTATGAACCCTTGCATTGCATCCCACTTTGTGTCACCCCCCCCCCTTTTTTTTCCCTCAACAAATGTTACTCTTGTCAGTTCTTTGTGCGGAGGAGGAAAGTCTTAACACACGCCACGGCTCAGAGTATCAGCAGCTCGTCAAATCTCATCCTTTGAAAGAATATCCATCAGCACTACATTTTATCTTGTTATCAACACTCAGAGGTGCAGTTAAATCGTTAATGGTCATCCCGCCGTACATGATAGGAGTATGAATCTCATGTAGCTACAGTATTTTACGTTCCATTAGGCAGTTTTATTTCGGAATAAAGCTGCTGAGCAGGGAGATTTGTGGTTTGGCCTTGTCTGTCAGTAAAAGAGAATGTGACGTCTTATTACTTTTTAAGAATGGAGGTGGATGGCGCTTAATTCCACCTCAAGAAGGTAAGGAAGACAAATACAGCTAGCAAAGGTACCTGCATGTCTTAGAAGATTGAGCAGATGAACGGGAATGCTTTGCTTTGATGTAACATAACTGTAATCGATTTAAAAAATAAAAGTAAACATCTTAAATTGTAAATATAACCACACAAAAAAAAACTTAAGACGCTTTATTTTTGTCATTTTTCTTTGCTGTTTTTCAAATGTTTCCATCATGTACTTTGCACTTTTTTGTGTGCCACATTCGTCATTGGTCTGTGTGAAATCAGAGGTTGGCTGTTTCTCTCGACTGCAGTGTTTCAGTGTTGGGGTGGGGAGACAGGCTCAGCTGAAAAAGAAATGGAAGACACTTTTATTTACTTTACTCATCTGTTTTTCTGATGTGCATTCTCTTTGGTTTTTCTAAAGTTAAAGACTTTTGTTTGTTTGTTTGTTTGATGAAATCAATCCATGTAAATATCACAAGTAAAAAAATGTATATTTTTACGACCTCTGAGTTATTACTCTTTCATTTGCAAATAAAATATTCAACTTCAACCTTATTCYTCTTGCAATATCTTTATTTAGCTTTAGAACAGGAAAGTGTATAAAACGGGGGTCTCATTCATTTTCACAGAGCATTATGGTGACCCTCAAAGGGCGAGTTGTAATTAACTTTGACATCTCATCAGAGTTGTAAAGTAACTAAGTACAAATACTTTGTTACTGTACTTAAGTAGAATTTTTGGGTATTTGTACTTTACTTGAGTAATTATTTTTCAGCCTAATTTTTACTTCAACTTTTTACATTTCCATACAGTTATCTGTACTTTTTACTCCTTACATTTAAAAAAAGGCAAGAAGTAGAAAGTTGTTACTTTTATTTAATTTATGCTTGTTTTCATTCCAGCTTATTATTGTAAAAAATAAATACTACCCATATAAATTGTGCCTCCTAGATAGAGTGAATTTAATTGTGGTTGAATGAGAAGCATAAATATGAAAAATTCTGGTACTGTATTAGTTTGTGTACAAACAAATCATGTTACACTCCAGCAGGACATAATCATTAAAATAAAAGGACTGTACTTAAGTAGTATTTGTATTTCATAAATTATATTGTCCTGATGCATCTCAGTATTATGAATTATATTATTGCATTTGGCCCGCAGCCTTTGGAAAAATTTTCCTTTTGGAGAAAAAGTTTGGGCACCCTTGATATATATACACACACACACACACACACACACACACACACACACACACACA